AGTCCTCAAATGGATTAGGTATCCTATACCTAATCGACAGGATTTGCTGAAAAGAATTACTTCAGCAAAGGTGTTTTCAAAGTTCGATTTAAAATCTGGGTTTTGGCAAATCCAGATTCATCCAAATGACCGTTACAAAACGGCTTTCAATGTTCCATTCGGACAGTTTCAATGGAACGTAATGCCATTCGGATTAAAGAATGCTCCTTCCGAATTTCAGAAGATTATGAACGACATCTTTAGCAAATACAAAGATTTCACAATAGTCTATATTGATGATATTCTGGTATTCTCAAATACTGTAGATCAGCATTTCAAGCATCTCCAGTTATTTCTCAATATTATCAAAATGAATGGTCTTGTGGTTTCCCAGCCAAAGATCAAGTTGTTCCAAACAAATGTTAGATTTTTAGGTTATGATATTAATCAAGGAATCATCAAGCCAATCCAACGATCTCTGGAATTCGTGGATAAATTCCCAGATGTCATACAAGACAAAACACAGCTACAGCGATTTCTGGGTTGTGTGAATTACATTGGAGACTTTATTAAAGATCTCCGTACAATCTATCTGCCACTATATGATAGATTGAAGAAAAATCCAAAGCCATGGACTGTAGATCATACACGCGCAGTCCAATCCATCAAATCTCTGGCGAAAAGCATCACATGCTTATCTCTAGTGGTTGATTAGGCACGCCTCATAGTAGACATCGACGCGTCAGAAATTGGATACGGCGGTGTACTCAAACAGGAGATTAACGGAAAAATCACGATTATCCGTTACCATTCAGGCATCTGGAATAGTGCCCAGAAAAACTATTCCACGATAAAGAAAGAAGTATTAGCAATGGTACTTTGCGTTCAAAAGTTCCAAGGAGATCTTATCAACAAAGATTTCACCATCCGGACAGATTCAAAAGCAAGTAAATTCATTTTTGAAAAAGATGTAAAGAATCTGGTCTCAAAGTAAATCTTTGCAAGATGGCAGGCCATACTATCTTGCTTCAATTTTCAAATCGTGCCTATAAAAGGAAGTGAAAATTCCCTTGCTGATTACCTCTCAAGAGAACACCTCTTGAAAACCCCTAAATCAGCCCTGACCTCTCTTCCCACTAATAGAACCTCCTCCCGGCCGAAGACGACCAAACACTCAGCGGCCCTCGCCGCAAAGCAACCACGACCCCCGTCGCCGAGAAATGAAACCACCATTTCTCCTCAAGCCGTAGCATCCTCTTCAAGAGTTGCTACCTCAAAGGGCAAAAGGCCCATTTCTCAATCATCTGTACCATCTCCGATGAGTGCAGAAAACTACGCCATGGATATTCAGTTTGAGACTGTATCTAGACGTCAACAAGGTTCTTCACAGAAAACCTTATCGATTCAATCAGGCCCTTCCAGCCTTCCAATTCCCTCAAGTACGTTCTTACGCCCTTTCAGCACTACAACGAAAAATAGGCGCCCTGCTACAGTAGCCACCTCTTCAAGACTACGGTTCCGAGGAATTCTTCCTCATTCTCTCAAATCGTCAGGCCAAAAGTTTTTCAGCCAAGGCCCCTTATTAATGGTTATTTCACCAAAACTACCATGGTGGACTCAACCATCAAACCAGAATTTGACGGACCTTCGGTCCAAGAAGTCTGCAAGCAAGTATTTCCTCATGGCATTAACTTTTTGCCGGAGGATCTTCAAAAGACCCGTAAATTTTATGAGTTTATTCTAGTTGATTCAAAATCAGCAGAAATAACTCATATTCCAGATAAAAATGATCCTTCCAGGACCATTTATTCAAAACTAAGAATCTTCCGAATTCTTACCCCTTTTTCCTTGAAACAGGGTATGTTTGTAGGGAAGAAACTAACAAGGACCTTCCAGCCACAAACCTACAACTATCGCGACTACATGAAAGCGTGATATGTTGTTTTCTGGCTTCAAGGCTACAACCACTCTTGGTTTGTGACTTTTTGTAAGCAAGCTTACAAATCTCACTTTCCAAATTGGTTTCAAAGTTGGTGGACGTATTTTGGACTTTCCGAGGAAATTTTCCCGGTCGAAGTTCAAAGATCGTACCATCTCTTCCAACAAAGTATTTACTCGTCTCCCCTCTCTAAGACGTTTAGATTTGCTTTGTATTTCCAAATACCATGGATCTTTTGCTGGAATTTCCAGCTAGGACCCAGTGGCAATTTCAAAGCGTTGAGCAAAGCTTTACGCATCAAGTGGTTGGAAGAATTTGATTATTCCTACCTAGAAGCTGAAAAGATGAAGAATTGGTTCAAGACAAATGTTCATCTTCAAGTTATGACGAGGCAAGAAGACGAGAGTTTCCTTCTAGCCAAAAATACCGTCATGAGCTCACTAGCTGGAGCCGGATCTCAAGTCGACTTCAACTCAGTTCTCAATACAGTCGCGGTTCAAATCTCTGATCCAGACGACCTTCAGATGGATGTTGATTCTTCCGCCTCTGTCAATAATGATGTTGAAGACGACGAAGACGACTTCGATCCCTTCGAAGGCTACGACATCAACGATCCATATCTAGATTCACAGCTCAGCTGAATCTGAAGCGAGATATCTCAAGAGTTTAATTTATTTTTCTTATTGTAAATTAATGTAAATTAATTTGTTTAAATTTCATTTTTGGATAAGATCATTGTATTCCGATCTTATAATCACTATCTCAGTCTATTTTTGTGAAGGAATTGTAGAAGAAATTCAGATGGAGTAGATGACAAGCTTTTGATGTAGAGTAACCAACCATGAGGCAGCGTAGTTAGCGTATAGGATTGACTCAGTTGAGAGGATTCTATATCTCATAAGGCAACCCTGGTCGAAGATCGAAGGTGTTCCTTGGGCAGTTTAGGCGAGAGGCCGTGAGTAAGACCCTGAATGGAAAGGTCTAATCTGATGCCGGAGAAGCCTATACGATGATATACAGAATCCGCAATCCTCGCTAAATCAGAAGAAGCCGGGTGACTTCATCAAAAATTCTGAAGCAAGTTTCCAGTCCAAAAACAGTCATATCAGTTTTCACTTTCTGTCTTTCTTTAATTTGTCAGTTTGTAATAATTTTCCACTTTACTTTATTTCTTTTCTTACTTTTTAAAAGATAAGATGCTCCCTGTTGGCCACGCTTATCTTTGCTTTTTATAAAGTAGATTCCAAATAAATAAGATGCCAGTCAAGGACTTGTCTTGTCGGCTAATTTTTATCTCTTTTATTGTATCCAATTATGTTGAGACAAGTGTGAAGACAATAGTAAGAAATCAATAATTGCAGCCCGTTGCAATAATTGATTTTCTTCTATAAATAGCACTTGCCCTCGACCATCAATATTTTATTAAGATAAAATATTTATGAGAATCAAAAAATAAAAAATTGCTAATATGAGGTATTAAAAGATTATATCCAAGCTTCTATAAATAAGATTCTTTAGAGTAAGCTGAAAAGGCAACATTTATTCTCTTGTAATTTTTCGTAATTTTTTCTAAGATTTTCTTATGGCTCGTTTGGTAACGGTCTCGTTTCCTATTTCTCGTTTCTTGTTTCATGTTTCTTGTTTCTTGTTTCCTGATCTATTTTTTTAAATTAGAAACAGGAATATGTTTGATAATCATTTCTATTTCTTGTTTCTTGAAAAAAAAAAAGAAATAGAAACAAAAGTATGTTTGATAACTATTTCCTTTTCTTATTTCTATTTTTTTTAACAACAATTTGTAGGGGTGAAATTCGAACCTACTACAAAATTATTGTTTATTAAAAAATATAATTTACAATATAAACTGATATAAAAGTATAAATTATTAGTTTAAATAAAGAATAAAATTTTAAAATATTTTTAATTTTAAAAATAGAAATTTTTTTATTTAAGAAAATACAGTAGTTTTAGATTAAAATAAATTTTGAAAACATTTTAGATTAAAAAATATAAAATATAAAAAAGATACAAAAAATTGTTATTTAGAATCCAATGGAGTTCAAACCCTATGCAATTTGGGTCGTACAAACCACACAGCCAATGATGGTTTTATGAAAATTGTGATAAATATATTGTTGAACCTGAGATAGCGCCTCGACACAAAATAAAAAAATAGAAACGGCAAAAACGAAACTACTTTTCATAGTTTCCAAAAATTAGTCTTTTTTTTGGAAATATTTCTAAAAATGTAGAAACAACAAACGAGATTGGTTACCAAACATGTCTGTTTCTAAAAAATGAGAAACAAGAACAAGAACAGGAAAAACGTTACGTAGGCTTTAGTTTCTTTCAAGAAGGTTCCCAACAAATTTGGTTTGTTATTCGAACCACAACAACGAATATCTTGGAGAGAAATTATATAAAGATGTTTTCTTTGTTAATTAATTTAGTTTATAAATATATATTCAATGCAGTTCTAATATATATAAATTGTCTAAAAATTAAAATTTTGCTGCATAGTGAGTTGACAAAGTTTGGCTGGACCATTATAAACTTTGTTTATTATTATGTTTTAATGTTATCTTATTTAATTTTTGTAATTAATTATTAAAATAAATAGTTTTAATTAATTTAATTTAATTTATTTTGTTTAACTTGAGGTCAAATTAATTGATTGCTATGCATTTTCTGAATATCGGTCATTGTTGTGTTTGCATGGCATATTTAATTTACAGGATAAATCTTTGGTAAAATTATTTGCATGAAATTTATGTCAATTATTTATAAAAAATTTATTAAATTTATTAATTGAACCACCTTAGAAAAAGTGTAAAATTGGATTAGTTCCATCCACACATTTGCGAGAATGATCAACACCACTAGGCCTAGACTTTAAAGTCAAGATATTTGAATAGTCTCCGATATTTGAATCATTGTCCACAAATCTGTCAAACTGTAATGATTATATACACTCAAAATTTGACCTCAAACCTACCGTTTACCCCACAGAGATTCAAATTGATTAAGCTTACATACTTGATAAGAAATTTGGTAGCTAACAATCAAGCATTTTTCCAACAGGATGAGGTGCAGTTGCTGCAATACCAATAAGATTCTCTATGATATCCTTTTGATGTTCATGATCTTTGCTTGTGTTCCAACTTCTGCCAACGAAGTGGATCTCTTTGCTCTACTCGACTTGAAAAGAAAAGTACTCAAAGATCCACTCAAAATCATGAGTTCTTGGAACGATTCCATGCATTTCTGTGACTGGATTGGTGTTATTTGCAATTCCACCATCGGAAGAGTTGTGGTTTTGGATTTGGAAGCTCAAAGTCTGGGTGGTTCCATACCGCCTTCTTTGGGAAATCTAACTTATCTCACAGAAATCAGATTTGGAGACAACAACTTCTACAGTCAGATTCCTCAAGAGTTTGGTCGGCTACTACAACTGCGTCATCTCAATTTGTCCCATAATGATTTTGATGGTGAGATTCCGACGAATATAAGTCATTGCACAAAACTACTTGTTCTAGACCTTACTGTCAATGGGTTGGTAGGTCAAATTCCACACCAGCTCTCCACGTTAACCATGTTGGAACAACTCAGGTTTGGCGGTAATAATCTGACTGGAACTATTCCAACTTGGATAGGAAACTTTACTTCTATATTTCGTATGAGTTTCTCGTATAACAATTTTCAGGGAAACATTCTCAATGAACTAGGCTACCTTTCTAGATTACAAAAGTTCTCTATCGATCGGAACTATTTGACAGGAACAATGCCGCCTTCAATTTATAATATACTTCTCTCATTGATTTGTCGCTTACTCAAAATGGACTCCAAGGACTCCTACCACCAAATATTGGATCCAACCTTCCCAATCTTCAGTTCTTTTTAGCTGGTATCAACAACTTCAGTGGGCCAATTCCCACGTCCTTTGCTAACATCTCCCGTCTTCAGATATTAGATATCTCTGTGAATAGTCTCACTGGGATTCTACCCAATAACCTAGGGAGCTTAAGAGAGTTGGAAGCGCTCAATTTTGAAGACAACAATCTTGGAAATGGAAAAATTGGTGACTTAAATTTTATCAATTTCTTGGCTAATTGTACTGGTTTACAGGACCTGGGTCTAAGCCATAATGATCTTGGAGGACCATTGCCTCCATCTATTGGGAACCTCTCAGACCAGCTGAAAAGGCTAACTTTAGGCGAAAATGTGTTAAGTGGAAGCATCCCGATTGAGATCGAAAACCTGATTAACTTGCAGATTCTTGGGATGGAATATAACTATGTGAATGGCAGTATCCCTCCCAATATTGGGAAGCTTCAGACGTTGGGGGTTCTATACTTGAACGATAACAAGTTAACTGGACCAATTCCATCCTCCATTGGTAACTTGTCTTTGCTCACTAAACTTTTCATAGACCGTAACAAACTGGAGGGAAGTATAGCACCAAGTTTAGGACAATGCAAAAGCTTGCTAGCTCTTGATCTATCTCATAACAACCTAAGCGGTTCCATACCCAACAAAGTTATTGGTCTCTCTTCCATTTCAATCTCTTTGGCCTTGAATAATAACTCACTTTCTGGTCCATTGCCAAATGAAGTGGGTCAGTTGGTTAATCTAGCATTTTTGGATGTATCAGATAACAAATTATCAGGTAATATTCCCAGCAACCTTGGTAAATGTATTAGCATGGAGCGTCTGTATCTTGGAGGTAATCGATTCGAGGGATTTTTTCCTCAATCTTTGAATGCCTTGAAAGGCTAGAAGAATTAAATCTCTCAAGGAACAACTTGTCTGGGCAGATTCCTCAATTTCTTTGCAACCTTCTCTCGCTCAAGTATCTCAATCTATCTTATAATAACTTTGAGGGAAAAGTGCCCAAACAAGGGGTTTTCTCCAATTCGACCATGTTTTCTATCATTGGGAATAATAATCTATGTGACGGTTTACAAGAATTACAGTTACCTCAGTGCCCACCTAACCAAACTCAGTCATCCAACAACTTCCTAGCACCAAAGGTGTTCATCCCCATAGTTTCCATAGTCACATTTACCGTTGTTCTTTTGAGCATAACTTTTGTGTGTTTTGTGCTCATGAAGTCGAGGAAGAAAACTTCAACTTCATCTTCCACCAAGGGTTTTCTACCCCAAATTTCTTACTTAGAACTCAGCAAATCAACCAATGGATTCTCTGTGGACAATTTGATTGGTTCAGGTAACTTTGGTTCTGTATATAAAGGTGTTTTTTCAAATGATGGGTTGATCGTGGCCATTAAGGTTCTAAACCTTCAACAACACGGTGCTTCCAAGAGTTTTGTGGATGAATGCAAAGCTCTCATGAGTGTACGACATTGAAATCTTCTTAAGATCATAACTTCATGCTCTAGTATTGATGTACAAGGCAATGAATTCAAAGCTTTAGTCTTTCCCTTCATGTCCAGCGGAAATTTGGATTCTTGGCTTCACATTGCAAATCATGAACGCAATCGAAGAAGGTTGAGTCTTATCCAGAGATTGGATATTGCCATTGATATTGCTAATGCATTAGATTATCTCCATAATCATTGTGAAACGTCTATTGTGCATTGTGATCTAAAGCCTAGCAATGTATTGCTTGACGATGATATGGTGGCCCATGTTGGAGACTTTGGGTTGGCCAGATTCATGTTGGAAGGAAAAAATCAATCCTCTTTCACTCAAACGATGTCACTTGTGTTGAAAGGTTCAATCGGATACATCGCACCAGGTATTTCTCTTTCATCTAAACTCTACCATCTTTCAATAGCATATCAAACTGTTAGATCTTGATCTGTTGTTGGTATGATGTGAATGGTATTTTGCAGAGTATGGTACTGGTAGTAGAGTTTCCACGGAAGGAGATATCTTTAGTTTTGGTATACTGCTGTTGGAAATGATTATTGGAAGAAGGCCTACTGATGACACATTTGGTGATGGTGTGGATATTCATATGTTCGCAGAAGTGGCATTGCTTGATGATGCTTTGAACATAGTCGACCCTTACCTGTTATATGAAGAAGTATAGCAACAAGAAGAAGATAATGAATACATGATGCAAGAAATAATGATAATGAGTAAGGAAGATTGTAGAAATGTTGTACCAAGATGGATGGAAGAATGTCTAATCTCAGCCATGAGAATTGGCTTGATTTGCTCCTCAAGAACACCTAGAGAGAGAAAATCTATGGATGTTGTTGTTAATGAATTGCAAACAATCCGAAGCTCCTATCTCAAAATTTAAAGAAGACAAACCACAGGTTCAACAGATACTTGTACTTCAGCAAGCTTGAGCGGCGAGTGACTATATTTGGCTACCAAGCGACATATTCTTACTCAAAAACGAAAATATTTGGCTCCTCAATGTTAAGGACCAAATCTTGTCCTCACCATATTTGAAAAATTGACAACTCATTGAATTTTATAAAAAAAGTCTCTCTTTTTACATCTCTTAGTGGTGAAATATTCATATAGGAGTCGAATTTTTTCCACTGAAAAATCTACAAGTATAGTCCTCACGTTTCAAGAGACATTTCAAGAAACAGACCAACCCTGTTATTTAATAGTATACTATATTTCACACCGCACGTTTCAAGAGACATTTCAAGAAACAGACCAACCATGTTATTTAATATTATACTATATTTCACACCGCATGTTCAATGCTCTGTATTTCTTTTTCCGTGAAAAATTCAATGCTTAGTATACTTTAATTAGCATGATTTACTTAACTGTATGGTTGTTAGATGGTAATAATGTGTAATGTTTGTGCTACCTAACAAAAAACATTGGAGTTGCCGTGTGGATTGGGAAATATAGATACAGTAGAGGAAGAAAAGTATGGGCTGGGAGTGGGATGGAGACAGTGAGAGAGCAGAAAAAGTGAAAGAAGATGAGCCATACGGAATTATGAATGAGTTGATGGATGAGGGCAACGGCAGGAATTAAAATTAAGAACACTTTTAAAAAATTATGAAATCTATGAAATATTATAATAACCACTCATTGATTTTTTTATAATTAATGAAATAATTTTTGGACAAATATACTTTGTAACCAATTACATATATTTGTATAATTTTAGCAATTTACAAATTAGATATATATGTATAATTTAGAAATTTAGGATTTTTAACGAATAGCAAAAACATCGGATTGGAATAAACTATATGTAATAAAAAATGAATGATTTTTTTTTTTTGAGTAAGGGAGGGAATTCGAACTCACCTCTTTGTATGTACCAATTAGTACTGAGCTACGTTCGATTTGACAAAAATAAAAAATGAATGAAATTAAAATAATTAACTTAAAATTAATTTAAAATTGATAATCATTAACTTATAACTAATTTAAAATTGAAAGTAGATTTAACTGGTTATAAATGTTGACATGAATTTTGAAATTTACTAGATCACAAGAACCAAAATATATTTATTTTTAACTAAATTTGAAAATTCAATTACTCAATTAAAAAAATCAGGGTTTGAGGTCTTCTCCTACTTCCTTGACTTCACGCGCCCCACACCACCCAGCTACAGTGCCGCCCCTCCTCCCATCTTCACCTTCACCTTCATCTTCATCGCCTCCGCCCCCACTTATCTACAAGAATAGTGCCTCTGTCGCCCCTCCTCCGTCGGCCTCCCGTCTCCAACGTGGATTCCCGCAGCCACTCGCATCCGCGTTCAGTCCCAACCCAGATCCAGCCAAAGTCGCTGCTCCCGCAGCCGCTTGCCTACACGTCCCGTCCCAATATCCTGCAGCCGCACGCCGCCCAGTCCGACCCAGATCCGGGTGTCCCACCACAGACCAGTACCGGCCTGTTGTCCACCACTCCGATCTGTTTTCGATCGACTGCCCAGCTGTCGTCTTCCACCTATCTGAGTAACGTAAAATATTTGTTCTTATTTTGCATACAAAATATATATTTTTTTGTGTTCCTGAATTTTTAAAAAATATATAGATGTGGGACTCACCGCATGACTGTGTTGTTAATAATCAAATATGAGTAGTATATTTGCTTTAACTCCAACAAAATTAGAATTTGTATTCAGGGTAAAAGTTAGAGGAGGAAGATCTCGATGTTAAATTGAACGAAATCGTGCACAATCACACAGACAGGGAAGAAGAGGTATAAATGCAATAGTTAGTTTATATATGTCTTTTTTGTTTTTTAAAAAATCTTGACATAGATGTCTTATCTAATTTATATATATATAGATTAAATCATCAAGCACCGAAGCAGAGACTGTGATGAATAATGGAGAATGTGATGTAGTCCGGAGAAAGAAAGGTAAAAAATTGAAGGAGACCAGCAAAAAGAGGGGTGGGGATACTTAGTTCGGAGGTAAGACAAAACATACTAAAATTGACCCTAAACGAAATTTGGGTTCATGTAAGGAACCTACCAAGAAGGTAAGAACTCGAGGAATATTTGTGTTGGATAGTAATATTTACAAATTAGATTCACTTAGCTAATTCTACTTTTATGTTTCGGGAAAATTAAAGGAGAGGGTCTCAAGATAGTTGAGGAAGCGTGCATGTTGTTAGTGAGATAATTATTGAGATATACATGTACTAGATTTCTATTTATGATATATATATATATATATATATTATATTAGTACAACATGTGGGGATGGGAGATCGAGCTCATAACTTATTTGTTTGAAATATATGTCAATTACCGCTGAGTTATGCTCTATTTGGCCTATTTATGATATTTTAGTTGTACAGTAATACTTACATGTATTGACTTTCGTATTTGGTTATTTCTTGAATTGATATATACATCTATTGACTTCCATGTTTTGTTAATTGTTGAATTATTAGTAGATACATATATTGACGTTTTAATTTTGACAATTTGAGTTGCATGGTGATATTTATGTGTTTTGAATTGTAATATGAGAGATGTTGAAATTGTTGTACCCATTTTTTCCACTTCACATACCACCGTATAGAATTGTGATTACTACATAATCAATACACAATCAATTGTTGCAAAGAGTGAAGAATGAGTTTTGAAGAGGAAGATACAATAGAATGATAGAACAGATGGGAGACTGTGAAACAATGACAATGACAATACGTTTAAATTAACTGAAATTCCAAAGAAAAGAATTAAAATAATAAAGTTAAAATCCCTTAAAGGTAGGAAATAAAATTTGAATTGAAAACAAAGTTTGTTAGGGTGGTAAAATATAAGAAAAATAAAAAAAACATAGAAATGCCACTGTGTGAAGAACTCTAAATGTTGTAAAATTATAAAAATATCATTTAGCCATTTTTACAAAATTAAAAATAAATTGACATTTTTTAAAATGGGTGTTAAAATTTAACCACCCGCATAAAATTCATCCCAAGTTGGTATTCATTAAATTTAACCACCCGCTTAGCCATTTTAACCTAGTCATCACGGAGCCTAGAATCGAAGCAGATAGATTTGAGCTAAAGCCTGTAATGTTTCATATGCTGCAAACAATTGGGCAATTTCACGGTCATTCATCTGAGGACCCATAGTTGCATTTGAGATCCTTCATGGAGGTGTGTGACTCGTTCAAGGTTGAAGAAGTGACTAAAAAGGCATTGCGACTAAAATTGTTCACCTATGCACTTAGAGACAAAGCACGAACATGGCTGAACTCCTGAACTCCTTATCATTGGAGTCAATCACAAGTTGGAACGATCTAGCAGCAACAATTTGTTAGGGAATCTGTTAGTGAATTCTAAGAGCGATTTAAAAGATTGCTACAAAAGTGCCGACACCATGGAATTCCAAGATGTATCGAGATAGAGACTTACAACATCTACCAATTGAGCGCTTCTGGCAAAACCTCATGTTGAGGCATTTGACATTTTGAAGTGGTCTAATTCGCGAGATATTCAAGGAAAAGGCACCAACTGATTCAATGAGATGGATGCTTTCTCAAAAATTAACTCAAAGATTGAGACTATAACAGACTTAATAATGAAAGAGCATGTCGCATCAAGCTACATTTAGAGCATCTACTACTAAGGCAAATATGAACCACATTTAAGGGATCTCTTGTTCCAATTGCGAAGGAGAACATCATTTTGATGAATATCTTGTAAATCCAGCATCAATTTATTACCTGGGAAATTCACCAAAAAATCGAAATAATCCATTCCAATACCTTCAATCAAGGGTGGAGAAAATCATCCAAACTTTAGTAGGAGTGGAAATCAAGGAGGGAACAATGTTGGAGTGTTTAAGGCCCCAACATATCAGCAGAACGGAAATTACTCGCTATGTTTTGCGAATCGAGGTCAGCCATCGATTGAAAGGCACGCAGAAAGAACAACCACTTCCTTTGAGAGCATGCTTAAAGCATATATAGCAAAGTCAGGCTGCATCTCTACGTAACTTAGAAATTTAGATGGAACAGTTAGCCACAAAGTTTAAAAATAGACCGTTTGGAGCATTTCCAAATGATACGGAGCTTCCAATGAGGGATGGCAAGGAGCAATGTAAAGCCCTAACTTTGCGGAGTGGAAAGATATTACCCCCTACTCTGATGGGATGTGAATCCCGCAGCGGAAAACAGATTGAGTTCATGAATTTTCAAGAACAAAACCACATAATTGAAAAGGATGAAATACAGGGGAAAAGAAATGTTTCCCTTACCTTTGAAGAACACTTTTTCAATTGATTAAACCAACGAACACCGTACCACCAATAGACCTTTCGTGCTATCCTCTAGGTACTGAGAACTCGCTTGTGAGAGCGTTCGATATGGATCTATAGGGAATGAAAAAGAGAGTGCTTGAGAGAATTGCTTGGGATTTTTTCAGCAGAACTCATCTGCAGAAGAAAACCAACCACATGACGTGGGAAGTTACCCTACATCATTAAACTGCCCACTCCCCAGTTAAATATTAATTATAATTAATATATATATATATATATATAAATCAAATAAATAATTAACACTTAATTATTTATTACAAAAATAGAATCATATTCAATAACATTTCTCTCGTATAACCTATAGTCATAATGTACATCTTATGCACATTATTTTTAACCTATAGTTTTAATATGAATCTTATTCATATTAATTTTTATTTAAATCTCATTCAAATAATATCTCTCATAATACATAGTTTTAATTTAGAATTAGTTATATATTATAATGTATCAATATACATATATTCCCTTGAGCAATTTGAACAGTTCAAATTCTTCCAAAAACTTGATCCTCGTTTTACCCATTATGAGCTAGCAAGGGGATCTAATGGACCTACAGATCAGAAGCTCCAACGATACGAGATTAATCGATCAAACTCATTGACCGAGTTCATCAACTTTCGTTAACTACGAGTCACTCTACTAAAGACCCGTAGCTGTACTCTTCTCCCTGTAGAATATTTTTGTGTTTATGGATATACAACCATTAATGGCAAGTCAATCCTTCATGAGTGCTTGTAACTCAAGTTGGGTCAAATTACCGTTTTACCCTTGAGTTACATCTTGATCCTTAAATACCATTGCTCTTATAATGAACAATCTGGTTATGGTCCGACCAATAATCAGAAGTCCCTCTCGTGCCAATGAGAGGGTGGGGCCCCTTGTTCAAGTCCGGGAGTCAGCATTTAAGAGAACACTCATCTACTCCCATAAGGTCGGGGAGGAGTGAATTCCATCTTGTGTAGTTATGTTCCCAACTCCCAACTCGGTCTCGTCCCCAAAATGGTGAGAATGTTGAGTCGGCGACTCGGGCCACTCTCACCCATACAGATCAAAGAACCAGCCCTCACAGGCAGGAGTCCATAACTCACTCCGGAGTGAGAATGAGTTGTCAGGTCATCCTAAGAAATAGCAATCTATTAGTCAACGGCGTTACATCTAAAGATTGGCTATTTCGTGGTCCGGTCTTATACAAACTTATTGTATAGGATACCCCGACTCGCATGTCTCCACACGAACGACCTGGATCGAGTCGTCTGTAACCTTTACAGAGTGGGCCGTATCCATAGTGTTGCCAGGATAAGGTACCCAACCTTATCTATATATCATAGATCCTTTAAGTTATTTCAAAGACATTATCCACCTCTATATCGATGGTATATCAAATATATATCCAGTATATATACTGTCCCGGTTACATGACAATAACCTTGGATGTTTAGTTTATTGGATTCAGACAATTCAATGTTATGAATTCAACAACAAATTTATTGAATATAAATTTGTTTTTACATAAATAACAACTACGAGTTTAGAGCAACACACCCAACAAATTAATGCTGGAGCATCTCATTCACGAATAATTGAGAAACAAAAGCATGCAGAAAGGAAAAATGCTCCAACTGAGTATAGACCTACACCACCCTATCTTATGAGGCTAAATAAATAGAACCAAGATAGTCAATTTAGAAAGTTCCGAGACATGCGAAAGCAATTACACGTCAACATTACATTGGTCGAAGCATTGGAGCAGATGCCTAGCTATATGAGGTTTCTGAAGAATATACTCATAATGAAGATAAAATTAGGAAAACTTGAAACTGTAGCACTCACAAAAGAATGTAGCACGTTCTTAAGAAGCAAAATTCCATAAAATATGAAGGATCCAGGGAGCTTCCCCGTACCTTTATCTATAAAAGGGCAGAAAATAAAGCACTATACGATATGGAGGCAAGTATCAACATCATGGCCATACCAATATATAGAAAGCTTGGGAATGAGAGAAGCAAGACGCATAACAGTTACCTTGCAGCTAGCTAATCGGGTTATCACTCATCCTGAATACAAAATTGAAGATGTGCTGGTACAAGTAGATAAATTAATGTTTCCATTTAACTTAATTATCCTTGATTATGATGCTGACAAAGCAGTCCTCTTCATCCTAAGGAGGCCATTTTTAGCCACTGGAAGGGCATTAGTGGAAGTACGCAAAGGTGAAGTGACAATCCGAGTCCAGGAAGTGAAGTTTTCGGGATATGACTCCATGAAATATCCTACCGGAACAGAATAATGTGTTCAATGCTAAGGATTCTAGATGAAGATCTGATGAAGGATTCTGGTGTAGAAGCGATTGGGGAGCATTTTTGTGATTATGATAAGGGAGCTCATGATGTTGAGATAGATGGAATTCAAGAAGTCACATATCTGGATGGTACGTAAAATAAGCAACGAACCATTAGTGTTGGCATCACGTGAGCATAAGCCATTAATGCCATCCACAGAGGAACCACCAACTTCGGAGCTTAAGGCACTGCCACAATATTTAAAATATGCATACTTGGGTTCATCTGAGACTGCCAATTATAACCGTCGCCAATCTACCAGAAGAAAAGGAAGAGGAATTGATGAATATGCTTAGAGATAATTGCAACAATTTGGACCTTTGATGTCAGTTGGCAATTTATAAACAATGACAATAGTATTATGATGTTAGTTTTGAAAAAACGTATTTCTCTTTAATGTCAGTTTGGGAAACTTAAAAGAATCTGGATTTTAATGATATTTAATAACCGACATCATTACTTAAAAACGATGTTGCGGTTAGAAAACGATATTGAAGGTAATTAAAAAAATTCACGTTCACCCAGACTTAAAAGAAACGATGTCATTTATGTAGTTTCACTACTCAAAACCGTCATTAAATA